ATGGGCTAAATGGGTAAGAGGCACTAAGGTATCTACTCCTGAAATCATTGTTGCACTATATGCTAACTAATTTGGATGTAAATTAAAAAAAAAAAAAGACATATGTACCCCTTTTGTTTATAGCAGCATTATACAATAGCCAAGATATGGAAGCATCCCAATGTCCATCTTTAGATGAATAAAGAAGTGATATGCATATATATATCTATATATATATATAGATATCACTTCTTTATTCATATATATATATATTAGAATATTACTTAGCATAAAAAAGGAATGAAATCTTGCCATTTTCAATGATGTAAATGTGATGAGGGACCATAAATCAAGCTGACACCCTGCAAAACCCTCCTCCCTCAGGTGGGGTATGTGTGATATTCCTGTCTCCATCAGTTTATAAATGTCTTTGTAAATCACCAGAAAAAAAGGCAATCTTATCAATAGCCTAGTCTCTAGAAACCCATAGACTCCGCTTCCTGGAGCCCTATCATCACCATCCCTTCCACAGTGATGTGAGGAACAAAGACAAGATGGAAATGGTAGATACAATGAAATTCCTTTATAACCTGCAGCCCATTGGCTAATACTTGAGGCAGGAGGAATATACCATTTTTCCAGAAACTCCCAACTATCTTAATGTTAATGATTGGCTACAGGGAAAAACAATCTTAGCTTGACAATAGCTAGGCCTCCAGAATCTTATGAGTCATCTTTAGCATATCAAAGTCCTTGTGGAAATCTCCCTTTGGCCTTTACCTCTTCCAACTCCAAGGTATATATATAACCAGTCACTCTTCACAATCCCAGTGTAGCTCTTCCTGCCCACGGGTCCTGTCCCCATGCTTTAATAAAATCACCTTTTGCTCCAAAGATGTCTCAAGAATTCTTTCTTGGCCATAGGCTCCAGACCCCACCACCACTCCAAAACTGCATCAGATGGAGCTAGAGAGTATAATGTTAAGTGAAATGAGTCGGTCAGAGAAAGACAAATACCATAGGATTTTACTCATATGTGGAATTTAAGGAACAAAACAAATGAGCAAAGGGGGAAAAAAAGAGAGAGAGATGAGCCAAGAAACAGACTCTGAACTACAGAGAACAAATTAATGGTTACCAGAGGAGAGGTGGGGATAGGCAATATAGGGGGATGTGCAATAGGTGAAGGGGACTAAGAGCATACCTTTTGTGATGAGGACTGAGTAATGTATAAAATTGTTGAATCACTATATTGTACACCTGAAACTAACATAACACTGTATGTTTATTATACTGGAGTTTTAAATATAAATAAATAAATAAATAAATAAATAAATAAATAAATAAGTAAGTAAATACTGGGGAAAATACTATAAGAAGGGTAAAAATTAAGATATTTTATGGCCTTTATACTTGTGATGAATTAATACCAAGTAAAGATGTATATTTGCATCATTAAAAAAATTAACATTACCAATCACAGCTTTATCCTAAATGTCCAAAATATGACTGGTAATATTGCCTCTCTGAAATCTTTTTTTTTTTTTTTTTTTTTTTTAAGAGATAGAGAGACTGAGTCTGTGAGTGGAGAGGGGCAGAGGGAGAGGGAGAGAGAATCCCAAGCAGGCTCCACAGCAAGTGCAGACCCCAACTCAGGGCTCCATCTCACAAACCCTCTCACGAACAAGTGAGATCAAGAACTGAGCTGAAATCAAGAGTCAGAGGCTTAACTGAGCCACTCAAACAGCTCTCCTCTCTGAAATCTTTTTGGATCAGTGTGGAAATTTTATGTAAGGAGCAAGGCCCTCAAAAATAATGGCAATTGATTTCATTCCTCTTACCTTCACTTTCCTCATCTGTAAAATAGAACTAGTAATCCTTATCATATACAATAGATAATGTATACCTAGCTTTAGGCATAAGTACCTAGCTTTAGTAGATATTCAATAAATGTTATTTTTGGGTTATCACTCTCTTTAAAGTAATTGATCCATGGGGCAACTGGACGGCTCAGTCAGTTGAGCATCCAACTTGAGCTCAGGTCATTGTCTCCTGGTTCATGAATTCAAGCCCAGGATCAGGCTTTGGATCCTCTGTCCCCCTCTCTCTCTGCCCCTCCCCCTTTCACTCTCTCTCTTTCTGTGTCAAATAAACATTTTAAAAAGCTTTAAAATAAAAATATAAAGGTACTTTAGATCCAGAAACCCTTTGAGTAGCATCTGGGCTTCTGGTCTGTGATCTGCTTCAGCCACACTGAGCTTTATTATACATCCTCCCTGGAGGCTTATTCAGCAGGCATGGTGGGAAATAAGAGTGTTCTAATTGTAAGCTGTCCCTCTTGTCAGAACAATAAAACAACAAAATCAAGCATCGTTTCCAGTCTCCTCTCCAGCATCCACTGTGCTTCAGTAATCTAACGCTAAAGAGGTACCTAGGGTAAAACTAAACAGTGTGCACCCATCCAGTGGAGGCTACCATTTCATCAGAGGCCACAGCAGGAGCAGAACAAAAGAGAACCACAGCAGTGAGTTTCAGGGATGCATTCCTAACAAGAGGAAGCTAGCTATATAAGGAGAGCTCTGACTGTCTCATCTCTCTTCCTGACCCAGTCCCAAGAACTGGGAAGGGGACCCAGTGCCCCAGAACATGATCCAACGCCACCCCCCCCCCCCGGCACCCTCTAGGTCACTAAAACAGGAGGATGATTGAAAAAGTCAAACAGTGTCCTCCTGCCAGTAAGTCTAGCTTGTATTGGGTGAGGCAGAGAACTTTGAACCAATCATGAGACTGACGTTTGAAACCAGATTGAACTGAATTGTAGTAGTCAAGTCATATAATCTTCCAGGGGTGTCATTAAGGTACAGGAGACAGGGATTTGCCATCCCAGTTGAAAGTAGTAATTGAAAATAATAATAACACAGAATAATTACTGAATGCTTACCATGTGCCTAGCCTGTTCAAGAACTTTGCATACATCAATCTGTCTAATCTTCATAATAAGCTTGTGAAGTAGGTCCATTACAATCTCCACTGGACGCAAGAGGGAACTGAGGCACAGAGAAGTTAATTTGCCTAATTCAGGCTCTGGCAGTCCTGCTCCAGAGCCAAGCTTTCACTTAATATGTTCTACTGCTTCTTCTGTCCTGATAGGTTTAGATTTCGTCATAAGCCAATTACTAATATATGTGGAGCCCACCACATATCAAAACCATATAATGTGATAATGTGTGAGTTCAGAGTTCTCTCTTCTGCTTAAACAATAAAATCTCTCAAGATATGAATTTTAAGAAATCTCAGCTTATTCAAACAAAACATTTTAAAGGGAAGGCCCACTTGGGTTGCAGGGTAAAGGCCAAATGAAAATCACCTGCTAAGAAGAGTTAAGAAGGCATCTGCCCTGTGTGCTACTGCATGTCTCTCACTCTACTGTTATTTGTTAAGGAAGCTCTACAACCAATATGGGACTTAAACTCACGACCGTAAGATCAAGAGTCACATGCTCTACCGATTGACACAGCCAGGTGCTCCTGTCACTCAATTTTTTTAACAGCAAAGATTTTATATAAGAGAATAGTCCTCCAAAGTATTAATGTCTTTCTTAAGCAACATTGCCTCTTATTAAAGATATCTTCATTTTTTTCAATTATTTTCTTCTCTGATTCAATTTGACAAATGTTATTGAGCATCTGAATTGTGCAATGCACTGTTATGATGCTTCCTTCCCTCAAGAAAAATCACACTCTACCAGGAGAGAAAGGAAAATACATAACTCACAATAACTCCAAAAGGATTATAGTACTTGTTCTGGTGGTTCTGTGGGAGCCCAAAGAGGTGAATGCTTGGTTTTGACAAGGTGTGTCAGGAGGCTCCATGGAAGAATTAGCATTTGAGTTGGATTTTGAAAGATGAGTAGGATTTAGATAGGTAACAGTGGGGAAACAGCGTTCCAAGGAGAAGGAAACCATAAGCAACTCATGGAAGCATAAAAATGTATGGCATGTTCTTGGAAAGCAGTAGTCAACAAAGCAAAAGGAGAAAAATGAATATTGGACAAGGCAGGATTTAGACAAGAAAGTGAGAATGGAATGGGGTAGAGGAGAAGCGGTGTTGGTGAAGGAAGCCTATAAAACTGAGCTAGAGCCTGGTAGAGAGAGTACCAGAGGTACTGGTAACTAAAAAAGTGTTTTGAGACTAGATTAGGGTAAGGAGAAGTTCAGTTTGGGACATATTTATAGTCTTTGCATCTTATGCAGGTGGAGGTATTCACCAGGACAGTAAAAATCAGGACCTAAAGCTCAGCAAACTTTAAGGCTATGAATAATAAATGATGAAATGATACGTAGGAACAGCCTATGAGTGAGACAGAAAATTGTGGGAGTAAATAAAATTATTCAGCAAAGTGGGTAGAGCAAGAGGATAGGATGTCCAAGAACAAATCTCAGGGATCTCCTGTATAGGGCAAGTGGAGAAAAGAAAAGACTGAAGGATACAGAGAAAGAGCTGTCAGAAAAGTAAAAGGAGAATCCATGGATGGGGGGAGTCACAGAGGCCAAAGTAGAAGAGATTCAAGAAGGCAAGGACAGATGGGGCACCTGGGTGACTCAGTTAAGCAACTGACTCTTGATCTGGGCTTGGGTCATGATCTTGTGGTCAGTGAAATTGAGCCCTGAGTTGGGCTCAGCACTGACAGCGTGGAGCTCGCTTGGGATTCTCTCTCTCCCTCTCTCTGCCCCTCCCCTGCTTGTGCTCCCTCTATCTCAAAATAAATAAATAAACAAACTTAAAAAAACAAAAAGAAGGCAAGGACAGTCAACATGGCAAAGAAGAATGGAAACTGAATGAGAATCATTGGGTTTGGCAACTAGAAATTGATGACCTTTGAGAGGTTTCCCTCTCAAAGCATAGATGTTTTCTCTACATCTTTTAGAGAGTATACAACAAAGGCTATTACTAATTTTCTCTAGTGGTTTTCTTAGTCATTGTCCTAGTCAGCTCAGGTTACCATAACAAAATACCTAGACTAGGTGGCTTAAACAACAGATGTTTATTTCTCACGGTTTTGGAAGCTGGGAAGTCCAAGACCAAGGTGCCCACTGATTTGGCTCCTGGTGAGGATTTTCTTCCTGACTTGCAGACAGCTGCCTTCTTGTTTCCTTCTTCATCTGGCAGAGAAAGAGAGTTCTAGTATCTCTTCCAATGCTTAGAAGGGCATTAACCCATCATGGTGGCTCCACCCAATCACCGCATTTAAATCTAATCATCTCTCGAAGGCCTCCCCCCTCCAAATACCATCATATTGGGGATTAAAGTCTTCAACATATGAAATTTGAGGGGACACAAATATTCAATCCATAGCAGTAATGATTCTTTGGGTTGTAACTAAGAGAAATTCACATCAAACTAGTGCAAAGAAAAGGTATTTCAGCAAAGCATCATCCCCTTACCATCTTTCTATTTCTTTCTGCACAGCTGTTTTGGCATCCTCTGCCATCAAAGACTAGCTCTCAATGTTTTGACCATGCATATGGCCAAACATGACCATTCCACAACTTCTAAGAATGTGCCTCCTCCACTCAAGCATCATGCAGGTACTGAAGTAGAATTTCTCGAATCTAATTATAATTCCCAAAGAAGTTTGTATACCTGAAACCAACTCTACCTTTGTCAAGTGTTAGAGGCATGAAACAGTAACCTTCCTTTTTTCACAGAAGATTGTCTGAATTAAGTTTCTGTTATAGCAATCGAAAGAGTTCAGAATTTTTCTTTCTTTGTTTTTCTTTCTTTCTTTCTTTTCTTTCTTTCTTTCTTTCTTTCTATTTTTATTTTATTTATTTAATTAATTAATTACTTTATTTATTTATTTTTACTTATTTATTTATTTTAGAGAGAGAGAGCACACATGAGTTAGGGAGAGGGGACAGAAGGAAAGACAGACAGAATCTTAAGGCTCCATGCTCAGCACAGAGCCCAACTGAGGGCTCGATCCCATGACCCTCGGATCATGTCCTGAACCAAAATCAAGAGTTGGAGGTTCAAATAACTGAGCCAGCCAGGTGCCCTAAAAAAGTTCAGGATTCCTGATGGTAAAAATTGTTAAACCTCAGGATGGGTTCCAAGAAAGGCTTTCTTTCTAAAGAAATTCTCCAAGAATTGTCTAGAATGGAATTCCTTTCTTAAAAAGGCCTCAAATCTAGATTTTTCCCTGTCATTTCAAAAGCAAGTGACCAAGAAGAAATCACCCAACTGCTTCATTACCTGTCTAGGGAGTCAGGAGGTGTTAATATCCCAATCTGACAAGTACACATGGGCACAAAGATCCTGAATTATTTTCCTTTTTTTAAAAATATAATTTATTGTCAAGTTGGCTAACATAAAGCGTATACAGTGTACTCTTGGTTTTGGGGGTAGATTCCTGTGATCTTAATTATTTTCTATTGTTATCTACCAGGTCAACACACCTGCTAGGAATAGAAAACCCTTTTTAGCCTCAGGAATACACTTTTTTCTTTCCAAAAGTAAACTGCAACATATCAACAGTTAACAAGAATGAAGGTAAACTTTTACAGCTTATTTATTCCACTGAAGTGAACACTAGCCACCCACTTAGCCAAGTACCCTAGATAGCTTCAGGCAAGTGAACCCTTGAGCAGGAGATATAATTGGGAATTACCTCCTTTAGCATTTAATCTTTTTCACCCAGTTATTTCTGTATAGCTTTCCTTCTCTGAATACTCTTTCATCATTTACTCTTTGGGGAATCTGAGCATTGCATTGCCTTTTGAGATCTGGTTGTAAGGCATTTCAAGTCCTTTGGTAAGAGCAGGATTTCCCACTGTGAGAAAGGTATTTTACTAGCAACAGCTGTTACCTCGGGGTGAGGGGTAAGGGGTGGATTGTGCAGGACTCTTACTTCCTAAGTGAAATATTTCTGAAATGTTTGAAATGTTTACAATGAGTATCAATTGTTTTTGTAATCAGAATATAATGTGAGCTCATATTTCTTTAGCATGTTCAATGCCAAATAAGAAGGCAACCCACACAGAAGATATTTCAGCTGTGGAACTCTCCAAGGGGATGGTATTCTCTCTAGCATCTTGCACATTTTGTCCTTTTTCTCTTCTAATGATGAAATCCTATGTTTTTTCTACAAATTTTAATGTCTTAACGGAATTATGATAACTTCAGGTCTCTGCCTCCAGTCTTGGCGTTTTCAAGTAATTACCCACACTTTTACCAGAGTGATCTTTTTAAAACACAAATCTGAGCATGTCACATCCCTGCTTCAAATTGTCTGAGACTCCTCCGCCCCTGCAAGCCCCAGGGACTCCATGAACCAGTCCTACCTACCTGCTTCTGTAGCCCCATTGCCCTTTACCTCCAGCTCTGTTCTTTAAGTTTCCATAATACCAGACTGTTATAAGACACAGCATCTCAAGGTTTAAACTGAGACATCTCCTTCTCTGTGTAGGTGAGGAAGTACAAAGGCTGCTCCAAAAACTTGACTTTGATGGCGCTGGACTCAGTTGTGCGCCTGTGATTAAGACTGAAGTCATAGGGATGGAGGCAGAAGTGTTGGCACTGAAGTGGGTGGAGTGTCATCACCCTACTGATCATCTGCAAACATCTCCTCATTCCTACCTTAACAACAGTAGAATCACCAGTACATCTCTCTATCCCCCTTGATACTAGTTTTCTCTGTGGTTTTCAGGGCTTGACATAACTCTCTGGTGGCTGTCGTGATGTCTGCTAAATGGATCATCTGGTATTTCTAACCCAGAAACAACCTCAGAATGAATGTCATGTAGATCACAGGCTGCTGTGGCTTAGCCCTACTGGGCCTCTTGAGTTCCTGTTGTTGCTAAAGGATCAGGAAGTGAGGGTGGGGATGGGGGGAAGGGGACTTAAGAAGAAAGAGAGGCTACACCAGAGTAGTCCTGTGCCCCAAAAGACTGTATTATCAAAGGCCAGCTTGTTCCTTGCCTACTCTTATTATGCAATAATTGGAAGCACTCTAAGCTTTTTCCTCTTGGTCATGAACAGTTTATTATTGAACTGGTGTGCTATAAGAACACAAAAAGTGTGTGGTAGTGATTGCACCCAGAGCAAATACATGTGTAAGTGGTCAAGATCTGGAAAGGAAAGTACCAAAATATAATTAGTTATATGTCAGGTTGGTGGTATTATGGGTGACTTTTTCCTATGAAGTTTTTAAGTTAGTTCATCTTTTAAATACTTGTTAAGAGAAAAAGGGGGTGGGGAAGGGGATAATGCTGTACCCTTGAGACCCGAATTTCTAGCATCTAGTGTAATAGAATGTATATATACTTATAATAATCTGCTCTAGTCCAGGAGTCACCATAGAGTTCAGCCGAATACACCCATGGAATTAGAAAGTCATGGAAGGTAACTTGAGGACAGTCCAGTCCAGGGGTGCTTACTGGGTTGAGTGTCCTACTCTTGATTTTGGTTCAGGTCATGATCCCAGGGTCATGGGATTCTCTCTCCCTCTGCCCCTCTCCCCACTCACTTTCTCTCTCTAAAAATTAAAAAAAAATTTTTTTTAATTTAAAAAAAGACAGTCTAATCCAATTTTTCTTTTTATAGAAAAGAAAGCTGAGACCCAGAAAGATCAAGTGGTTTTCCACACTCGCCCAGCTAATTTGTGACACAGCTAAAAAGAAAACTCAGTCTTCCCTTTTATACAAAGGAAAGAACAATTTTATTCTTTCTTAATTTATTCTTTCTTACTACTGCCTTTCAAACTCACTCTGTCAACTCTCCCTTCCAATCCCTTTAATTTACAGTCTTTGGTCCTCCAGCCTCTGACCTAGCCCTCAGGACTGAGATAAAACATCAGTCCCTCTACCTCACAACTCTGGACACTCAGGTCAGATTGTCCCAAAAACTCTATCTCCATACACTCTGCTCTACCTCCCAGCTACCTCGGGGGCATTTCTTCTACTCAGCACACATGGCCATGAGATGTCAGTCAGTCTCCTTTCCTGGCAGATCCCTCACTTGACTAGAAAGTGAGACAAACACAGCACTCTGAAAATTGTCTTCAAAGAAATCCTTGCTTTTTTTTTTTTTTTTCAACGTTTATTTATTTTTGGGACAGAGAGAGACAGAGCATGAACGGGGGAGGGGCAGAGAGAGAGGGAGACACAGAATCGGAAGCAGGCTCCAGGCTCTGAGCCATCAGCCCAGAGCCTGACGTGGGGCTCGAACTCACGGACCACGAGATCGTGACCTGGCTGAAGTCGGACGCTTAACCGACTGCGCCACCCAGGCGCCCCAGAAATCCTTGCTTTTTAAACCTCTTCTCCTAGGGTGCAAGAGTGGCTCAGTCATTTAAGCGTCCAACTCTTGGTTTTGTCTCAGGTCATGATCTCACGGTTTGTGAATTAAAGCCCCACCTCAGGCTCTGCGTTGACAGCTCTGAACCTGCTTAGGATTCTCTCTCTCCCTCCCTCTCTCTCTGCCCCTCTCCTGCCTGCACACTCTCATTCTCAAAATAAATAAACTTAAAAAAAACCCTCTTCTCCTTAATTTTCTTTTCTCAGGACAAAAGTGGGTGACAGTCTACAGGTTTTAGAACCAATTAGGGGGCTACCTCCTGAGCAAGTCATGCTTAAATGATCTGACACATCTCCTTGCAACACAGGGGCACTTGTAACCTATTATTCTAAGCTCTGAACTAAGGAAATAGGGATATCTCATTTAACATTCAATTAGAAGTGCATCTATTTCTTTCCCAGTTCTTTGTTTCTTAATACATTCCAGCTGAAATTTTTCAATTTAATTTTTACTAAATTATGCATTCCAATGAGAGAACACATGCCTTTTATATTTTGTAATTTGTTAGACCTTGTGGTGGGGCCATCTTCTGTCTCCCTCCTTCCCCTTAGCTGAGGCCATCAATAGCACCTGTAGGCTCAGGCTTGATCTGGTCATTGGATCCCACACAGAAGGAGGAATTTATGGCACTTTAGTCCCTCACTCTAGCTAGGGTTGCTCGTCTGAACTTATACCCAAGTTCTATCAGATAGATGACCTTCAGTTTCATTAAGACTCAGCCCTGCCTTGGACTCCAGACCCAGTCCTAGTGCCTTACATCCAATCCTGATAACCCCGCAACTGGGGCATGCCTGCCTGTTCCTTTCAATTACCCACTCCTTGGGACTGGAATGTCCCCGAACTTTAGTCCAGGGACTGGGGTCCTACTACCAGCTGACCAGACTTATCTATTTGTCTGAAATCCTGAGTATCTACTATCTCAGAATTCTTCTCAGTAAGACAACACATCATTTTCTGTTTGGCTTCAGATACCAACTGCTGGCCTATGTTACAGCTTGCTATCTGTCAGTATGCCCTCCCAATGGCAGATTTGGCCTGCTCAGTGCTTCTGCAGCTGACACTGTGTCCCCTTGTGGTATTAGATACCTGTCTCTTTCACTCAGCTGGCCCAGGCCACCACAGAACTCAAGCCAGGCATGAGCCATTTCCCTTGAACAGAATGCTTTGTTATATAACTGGTCTGCAGAACAGTGCAACCCTTGAGACCAAACTAGGAAAAGCACAGCCCTGTGTAGTGAGCCCTTTGAGGATAGATCAGAGAATCATCCATAATGTCTATTCAGGCATAGGCAACCTGTATCAGAGACTGTTGAGTCCCACTAGTTCAATGGATGTGTGTGTGATGAACATCCATTTTACCTGCCCATCATCCCTTCTTTTCTGATATCATGACTTTTCCATCCCCATTCTCAATCCATAAAGTTCTGGTTGGGCTGACCCAAACTCCAGCATTAGTCCTGGCCAACCAGAGCAACACAACACACCTCAGACACAGTGATTGTTTCAGAAATGTCCACATGACCCAAGCTGGACCAATGACAGTCTTACCTGAGAATCATAGAGATGCTTTCTGCTAGGGTTACTAAATTGGTAGAATGTAACCTGGAGCTGCTGGTGGCCATCTTTTTTCCCACATAGGGAAAGCCTGCCTGAGAATGAAGTCAACTCAAAGGAAAGCAAACCTGAAAGAGAGAAGCAAATTGGTTACAACATTGATCCAATTCTAAAGCCAGCAATCCATCAATGCACTCCTTGGTTTATCAGACAACATATTTACTTTTAGTGTGTAAGTCAGTAGGACTTGGATTTCTATTACTTTAAAATTAATACAGTTGGGGCTGTCTGGCTCAGTCAGGATAGTGTGCAACTCTTGATCTCAGTGTTGTAAGTTCAAGTCCCACACTGGGTGTGGAGCCTACTTAAAATAAAATAAAATAAAATAAAATAAAATAAAATAAAATAAAATTAAATTAAATTAAATTAAATTAAATTAAATTAAATTAATACAGCTGACAAGACTGACTGGTATTTCCTTCTGCTTGACCAGCTGATTAAACCTCTAGGCTGAAAATAGTGAAGAAAAGCAAGTTGAAAAAAAAATGCTCAAAAATGTATTCTTTTTTAAATTTAAAAATTTTTAAATTTATTTTTATTTATTTATTTTTAGCATTTATTTATTTTTGAGAGACAGAGAGAGACAGAGCATGAGCGGAGGAGGGGCAGAGAGAGAGAAGGAGACACAGACTCTGAAGCAGGCTGCAGGCTCTGAGCAAGCTGTCAACACAGAGCCTGATGCAGGGCTTGAACCCACAAACTGTGAGATCATGACCTGAGCCGAAGTCGGATGCTCAACCGACTGAGCCACCCAGCTGCCCCTTCTTTTTTTTAAATGTTTATTTCTTTTGAGAGAGTGAGAGGGAAAGAGTGGGGGAGGGGCATAGAGAGAAGGAGAGAGAGAATCTCAAGCAGGCTCCATGCTGTCAGCACAGGGTCTGATGCAGGGTTCAATCTCATGACCATGAGATCATTACCTGAGCTGAAATCAAGGGTCAGACACTTAACCAACTGAGTCACCCTGGTGCCCCAAAAATGTATTCTTTCATTCATTCAACTATTACATAAGAATAGCAGCATAATACAATGAAAAACAACACAAGGTTCAGAGCCTATCAGATCCCTGTTCAATCTTAAATCTTCTATTTTCTAGCTGCCTATATGGGGCATGTTAATTAGTATCTCTGAGCCTCTGTTTCTCCTTTTGTAAAATGGGAATAATATTACCTATGTCCTAGGGTTATTATGAGAAACAGATATAATGTATATGGTGCCTGGCACTAAAAGGTTTTCAATAAATGGTGCTTATTTTAATTACAAAACATCTTGGGGCGCCTGGGTAGCTCAGTCAGTTAAGTGACCACTCTTGGTTTTAGCTCAGGTCATGATCTTACGGTTCATGGGTGTGAGCCCTACACTAGGCTCTGTGCTGCTGGTGTGGAGCCTGCTTGGGATTCTTTCTCTCCCTCTACCTCTGTGCCTCCTCCACTTATGCTCTCGCTCTCACAATAAATAAATAAATAAATAAAACCTAAAAAAAAATAATAAAAAAAAATACAGAACATCTTGAGCTGCAAGGACTTTGGGCTAAGGGGTTTAAAAAATAAAAACAAGGGGCACCTGGCTGGCTCAGTCCATAGATCATCTCTTGATCTCAGGCTCATGAGTTCAAGGCCCAAATTGGGTGTGGAACCCACTTTAAAAAACAAAAAAAATTAGAGAAAAAAAAAAAGCAAAAAAACTTGATCACTACCTCCAGAGATTCAAATTTTAACTAAAGAAAGAAACACAATGTTAAAGACAGAGAGGCAGTGTAAGCTGTCTTGTGATTGGCAGAAGCCTCCATAACTCAAAGGAAGGAGATAATTCCTTTCTGGGGTGATCAAAAAAAGGCTTCATGGAAGAAGTCGAATCTGGGCCCTTGAATGAACAAAAGTTTTGGTAAGCAGAGATTGGGAGAAAGAGCATTCCAGTTAAAAACAAAACAAAACAAAACAAAACAAAACAAAACAAAAGGCAGCGGAACCTGGGTGGATGAGTCAGTTAAGCATCTGACTCCTGATTTTGGCTCAGGTCATGGTCTCACAGTTCACGGATTTGAGCCCCACATCAGGCTCTGTGCTGACAGCTCAGAGTCTGCTTTGGATTCTCTCTCTCCCTCTCTCTCTGCCCCTCTCTTGCTCACTAACTCTCTTACTTATATTAAATAAACTTTTAAAAAATGGTTTTTTTAAGAGGCAGGAGTGAGAAAATGGCTCTATCTGCAGGATTACAAGGCATAGCAACATGGCTGAAGTATAGAATCCACATAGAAGAGGAAGTTAAAGCTGGAGGAGTTAACTGCTGCCAATTCAGGGGTGGGGTGTGCTGAGGGGTGCAGCTTCTATCCTGTCCTCAGGGACTTAGAATCTTTCAATAGACCCAGGCGATGGGAACCTTTGAACATTTTTGGACAGCATTTATACAGGATGAAAGTTCTGATTGATCAGCAAATCACTTGAATCCTCTTCCAAACTGCACATTTCTACCAGCTGTCCCTAGAAACCCTGCCTCAATGAACCGCTGTAACTAAGGAGAGCATGTTATAACTCTCAACTGCATGTGGGGACATGAAAAATGGTTGGGAAACATCCGCCCAGAGGCAGACATGCTTTTTCAGAGAATATTGTGTGTGGTCAAAAGGGCACCAGGATCAGTAAAGCTGTGAAAAAAAGGGGGAAGGAGAAGAGATGGGCTGCATTCATCCCTCCCTTGGATTCGTACAATCATTTCCTCCTAGCTGCTCTTTCTGCCTCTGGTCCTTCTCTATTTCTTTTCTTTTCTTTTTTTTTTTAATGTTTATTTATTTTTGAGAGAGACAGAGACAGAATACAAGTGGGTTAGGGGCAGAGAGAGAGGAAGACACAGAATCCGAAGCAGGCTCCAGGCTCCAAGCTGTCAGCACAGAGCCCGATGCGGGGCTCCAACTCACAAGCTGTGAGATCATGACCTGAGCCGAAGTCGGACACTCAACCGACTGAGCTACCCAGGCGCCCCTGGTCCTTCTCTATTTCTAACTATTTTATATTTCACTATCAGATTAATCTTCCTGTTCTGATCCTGTCATGCCAACTTCAAAACCCTTAATGATAAGTCACAAGACACTCCCTACAGAATAGACTGAAATTCTTTGGTTTCCCATAGAAGGGTCCTTTTGGATGAGGCTGAAACCACCTTTTAGACCTCACTTCCTGCTACATGTTTCCAGGTATCTTCTGGTCTAGCCAATATGACTACTCAAGAGTCCCTTGCTTTCCTGTCTCCATGCCTCTTTTGTGCCACTCCTCCTGGCTGGAATACCACTCCACAGTCCCCTACTCATCTATTTCCAACTTCTCCATCCTTGAAGGCTCAGTTCACATATTCTGATCTCCTCTTTCTCCTATTCTGCCTTTGATAATGTCTTTTTTGAGCTCCCACAGAACTTTACCTGTATCTCTGTTTATGTATGCATCATTTACTTTAAAACAAACAAAAAAACTTGTAGTCATTTATTTTTTTTAAATAAAAAATTTTTAATTTGGGGCATCTGGGTGGCTCAGCCAGTTAAGCATCGACTTTGGCTCAGGTCATGACTTCACAGCTTGTGAGTTTGAGCCCTGTGTCGGGTTCTCTGCTGTCAGCACAGAGCCTGCTTCAGATTCTCTGTCTCCTCCTCTCTCTGCCCCTCCCCTGCACTTTCTCTCAAAAATAAACATTTTTTTTTAATTTAAAATTTGGTAATACATTTTACAAGTACAAGACAGTGTAATAAAAGTTGTTATAACCTCACCACCAAGAATTGCCAATTTTTTAAACATTTATTTATCCATTTATTTATTTAACATGTTAAAAATGTACATACCCTTAGAGTTTCAGTTTTGCAGGATGAAAAATGCTGGAGATTTGTTGCACAACAATGTGAATGCATTTAATACTACTGAACTAACACTTGTGCATGTGCATGAGTGGTGGAGGGATAGAGAGGGAGGGAGAGAGAGAACTCCAAGCAGGCTCCACACCTGTAGCGTGAAGCCTGTCTCGGTGCTTGAACCCATCAACTGCAAGATCATGACCTGAGCTGCAATCAAGAGTCAGATCCCCAACCGATTGAGCCACCAAGGCACCCCTAAAATCACCAGTTTTTAAGCTTCATATTTGCTTCCATATTTCTAATAGAAGTGAAATATTACAGATAAAATTGTTTCTTTTAACCACATACTCTCCCACTTAGTCCCATTTCTCCTCTCAATGTCCAGTGGCAATTGCTAACATGAGTTTTGTGTGAATCCTTCCATTCTAGTCTCTATAATTTTATCTGCATGCATATATGTATCCATCACCAATGGATTATGATGTTGTGTCCTCAAATTTACATTAATGGTATCATGATGAATGTGTCATTTTGCATCTTGCTTTTATCACCCAAAGTTTTTTTGAGATTATTTCAGGTTGATTTATGAATATACTTTTATTTACCTATTACTCTTTGTTTTTTTAAGTTTGTTTATTTATTTTGAGAGAGACCAAGATAGTGCAAGTGGAGGAGGGGCAGAGAGAGGGAGAAAGAGAGAATCCCAAGAATTTATTGCTGTCAGCAAAGAGCCCAATGAAGGGCCCAAACTCATGAACCATATGAACCATGAGATCATGACCTGAGCTGAAACTTAGAGTTGGACACTTAACTGACTGAGTCATCCAGGCACTACTACCCATTACTCTTTGATAACAATTTAGGCTGCTTCCATCTTTCTGCTTTTATAAACAATGGAGCAGAGAACATCCTCATACTTGTTTCTTTGTACACATGGGTGAGAGTTTCTTTGGAATACATACCTCGAAGTATTATTACTAAGTCATAGGGTATGTACATTAAAAATTTTTTTTAGGGGGCACTTGGGTGGTTCAGTCGGTTGAGCGTCCAACTTTGCTTCAGGTCATCTGATCTCACAATTCATGAGTTTGAGCCTCACATCAGGCTCACTGCTGTCAGCACAGAGCCCGCTTTGGATCCTCTATCCCCCTCTCTCTACCCCTCCCCAGCTTGCTCTCTCCTTCTCTCTCTCTCTCAAAAATAAAAATAAAATAAAATAAAATAAAAGTAAAATAAAATAAAATAAAATATTTTAAAAATAATTTTAAATATATATGACATAAAACTTACCATCTTAACCATTTTTAAGTATAAAGTTCAGTAGTGTTAAGTGCATTCACATGGTTGTGCAACTAATCTCCAGAACTCTTCATCTTGCAAAACTGAAACTCCAAGGGTATGTACATTTTTAACATATTAAGGGCATGACTTATTTCATCTACTAAACTATAAGCTTTGTAAGTGTATGATCAATATCTCATTAATTTTTACATTGAGCAAAGTGCCTAGTATAGTAGTTTAACAGGTAGAGACTTAACAAATATTTGTTGAATAAATGAAAGAACTAATCAATCAAGAGGAATAATAATATTTTCACAATTTTGGTGACATAAGATTTTCTTATCACACAGATGAGATACTAGAACTTACCTACTTGGAACATAGCCTGCAAACCAGAAAGGAACAGTAATGACCTCTGACCAAAAAAGAAAAAAAAAAAAAATCATCAATGCTTTAAAAACACATGTACTTTACCTAAGGAGATCCCTTTTGAATATTTATTTATTTGGAGTCTATTTACAATTTTCAAATTTGCATTATAAAAACATGGCATATTTGGGGCCAAAATTAGGAGATCACAGAAAAATGTCTAAAAATAGGTTTTAAAAAAAAAATCACCCTTCACTGCAGTTAGAGAGATGCACTGGTCAGATTTCCCCTCAAGAAAGGACTTACTGGAGCACCTGGTAGCTCAGTAGGTTAAGCGTCTAACTCTTGATCTCAGCTCAGGTCACAATCTCATGGTTCATGGGGTCGAGACCCACATTAGGCTCTGTGTTGATGGCAATAGCATGGAGCCTGCTTGGAATTCTGTCTCTCCTTTTCTCTGCTCCTCCCCTGCTTGTGTGTGCACTCTCTCTCTCTCTCAAAATAAATAAACTTAAAAAAAGAAAAGGTAATGTCCAGCTGCAGGCAGTGACAAAATTCAGCTGTTAACTTTTTGGTCATCCTCAGCTATCCAGCCAAGGTCAGTCTGTTCTCAGAGTGGCCCCAACCAATGACTGTGGAAGGTGGTGGTACAAAGGCCTGTTTATTTCTACCCATCATAGGACACCTCCAGTTGGCAGTCTTTGCTCCAAATTTCCCTGCTGGGCTGGGAAAGATTTTATATCACATCTGCCCAATTCTACTTCCTCCCCTTTCTTTTCATTGGTGTAGCTCCCCAACAAAGTTTTTCACTAACTCCAGCTCAGCATTTGCTTCGTAAAGAACCCAACTGACACAACCTTAATTCTATAATCCTAATTCCCAGAGATACACACCATAGCATTCTTTTTGTTTAGGTTTTTATTTATTTATTTTGAGAGAGAGAGAGCAGGAGCAGAGGAAGGGCAGAGAGAGAGGGAGAGAGAGAATCCCAAACAGGCTCTGCACTGTCAGCACAAACCCCACGCAGGGGCTTGGACTCACGAACTGTGAGATCATGACCTGAGCCTAATTTAATGCTTAACCAACAGAGCCACCCAGATACCCAACACACACCATAGCATTCTAAATTTTTTTTATATATAGAGAGAGTGTGTGTGTGAGAGAGCAGGGGAAAGGGGCAGGGAGGGGGAGAGAGAGAGAGAGAGAGAGAGAGAGAGAGAGAGAGAGAGAGAATCCCAAGCAGGCCCCATGCTCAATGCAGAGCCCCCATGTCAGGCTTGATCCCATGACCCTGGGATTATGACCTGAACCAAAATCAAGAGTCCAATGCTTAATGTACTGAGCCACGCAGGTGTCCCTGCGATGTTCATTTCTCAACCCAAATTTTATTTCCCATAGTACTTCTAGACCTGAAAAAAAATCAAGAAAAGGGGCTCAGTGTTGCAAGCATTCCACAACAGTAACAGTCCAGAGCACAATACAACCTCCAGGCTGTGTACCAACCAAGGTACTGCTGGATACACTATCAGAGTGCTGGTACACTGCTCATCTGTCAAGCCAACCCCACTCCCACCCCCTTCCTCAGTGAAACCTTTCCTCTTTCCCCTCTGTAGTTGCTTCCTGTCCTGCTCATACTTAGATGGGAGCAGTTATTACCCAGTATTATAAGTATATGCTTATGTGTTTATCTTCCCTGCCCCCAGCTTCTGCAGGACAAGAATCTATGTACCACAATGTAGGATGAAGACTAAGCATAAAATATTTATGGGAGGCATGGGGCTTGTGAATGAACCAGGCTTTATGCTTTAAATACTAAGGAAAGGACAATAGGAAAAGTGTTACATTTTCTTAAGCGGGTCTTGAAGACTAGTGTGCTCTGTAACAATGTACCAGGTCATTGTGTGAGTTGGATGGGAATGTGGCAAAACCAGTTAGAAGTCCCTGCAGTGACCCAGCACTGAGATGTAAGAAATGCAAGATGGCTGCGGTGGCATGGAGAGGAAGAACTACATCTACAAGGTATTTCAAAAGAAAAATAACAAAAACTGGGATTCGCTGAGTTCCCCAGATTTGCTAGAAGTGCCAACACCGCTAAGGTGGGTATGGACTCACCCCCATTTCGCCCACGTGCGAAGTGAGACTTGGCTAGATGAAATGACTCTCTGGGGGTCACACGCCATGCAAGTGGCAGTGCTGAACTTCCAATATAGGTCGTCCGGCTCTGAAGACCTAGACCTCAATTGCCCGGGTCAAGATTACCCACTCTCTGCACTGCGGGCTGAGGAATATTCCTGAGCTGAGGCCTCAACTCCTCTACTTACGGAGAAGGACCTTGCAGGGCCCAAGCACCAAACAGGGACGCTTAAACGACCGGTCAGGACCTTGCAGGCCCGCATCTAAGGGCGGAAGAAGGCGCGTCGCGGGGGCGGGGGCGGGGGCGGCGGCGGCGGCACTGCGCGCGGCCCGGGGCGGAAGCGGCTGAGTCACCGCAGGGCAGAAACGCAGCGCGCGAAGACAGGGCCCGGCGGCCGGCGGCTCCCGCACTGGTGAGCCGTGACGCCCGGCGTCGGCACACGCAGGGAAGCGGACGACGGCTGGCGGCGTCCGGAAGAGCTGAGTCAGAGCGGGCACGCCCGCGGGGGCCGCGCGCCGCAGCTCCAGGGCGCCGGGGCTGCGCTCGGATCCCGGCCAGCCATCCGCACGGCCCCGCGGAGACGCGGTTGGACGCAGGGCTTCGGCGATCGCGCCCACACGCTGGAAGCCGAGACTGAAATTTGAAGTCTTGAGGTGGCCCCAAGCAGCGGATCCTGTACGCATGTTTCGGTGGAAGCTACTGACCTTGTGAAAGGAGACAAGCTTTGGGTCTAAGACGGGGCAGATTTTGAAGATCAAAAGGACTTGCCCGGGACCAAAAATGATTTGTCTGCCTCAGTTCCAAAATGCAATAAATAATAATTAAAACAACACAGGCACAGACACACACACACACACACACACACACACACACACACACAATTATTTTTTAATGCAAAAGCGAAAAATCCGGAATCCCAAGAGAGGATAAACCTTGCAATAAAGGTTTACAGAAAATAAAGTTCTCCCAGGATGGGAACATTGCACAGGGACTTTCTAGAGGTCCCTGATAAACTTGATTCATAGACCTTTCTCCAGTTTCTCCCCACTACTACGCTACTGAGGCCAGAAGCCCATTTTTTTATATTTTACTGTTTTTATTCAAGTTTTCTTTTTTTAGTCAAAAAAGATACTATAGAAATCCCGGGGGGAGGGGGCGGAGGGGGGAGGGAATCGTACCCAATTACATAGTCCCTGAAACTAGAAACCACAATTACTTTTGCTTCTCCCCTTACATTTTTGTTCACAATAAGTTTTTTGTATAGCTGCATCAGAGGTATCATCTATTTTACTGTCTTAAGGTAATGTTATATAAACATTTGCCCATGTCTCACAGATCTTCGGGATCATTATTTTAAATAACTGCATTATGCATAAACTACTAAGTAATCCTCCTGTGGTGTGCTTGCAGATTATTGACTGGAATTGCTCTTTTCTTGTTTCCGATTGTCCATGTTTGTCCTCCATCAGGAAACCCCACTGGGCAAAATGGTGGAATCTAATGTGGAAAAGTGGCTGTGGACCATTGCACTATAGGAAAGCTTATTTTCTTTTTAAGAGCTGCCATAATTTCCCCAAATATTCTTTTAATATTTTATCCCACTTGGATAATCACAGCCTTTCTTTAATGCTTTAAGGTATACATTTGAAAAGGCTAGACCTTTGCAGGAGTGTGACAGAAGTGGAATTCAGAGTTGTGTCTGAGACATTTTCAGATTTTCATCAAGCCCTTTATGCTGAAGTGCCACTGTTAACAGTCTTCTGTGTGACTTGGAACATTATTTAACCTATCTCAGTCTCCCATTTTCTCATTTGAAAAATGGGGATAATAATAACACATCATATACTGTTGTGAGACCTAGATAAGATAACATTTGTACAGTGCTAAGAATGATGCCTGCACATAGTAGTTCAGAAGTGTTATAAATATTGTCTGCTATTAAAGACAACAATAGCTGTGTACTGAGCAGTGACAGGCACATCTACCATGGCTACCAAGGCTGAAATAATAGAAGTATTTCCTCACAAACTCTCCCCCCCCCGCCCCCGATTTAAAAATCACTCAAATGTGTAAACCTTTTCTATCAACTCAGTGATTTTGTTGTTAGAGATAATGGATAAAACTGAAAAGAGATAATATCACAAGATCTTTGGAACAAAGTTTATATTTAGAAACTCGGACCTATTGGAGACAGTGGGAGTGAAGGGGGGGCGGGGAGAAGAAGATCAAGAAGCTGCTACTTTTCATCTTAAACTCTCCAGTACTACATTGTAAGTATGCAAATATACTACTTATTTCTTGTTTTGTTTTGAATGTGTGGCCTGAGTCAGTAAGCTGAACAGTTCTTCAAAACTAATCTGAGTCCTAGATCTGGTTCTGGTGTGATACACACTAGAATTTGCCTTTTTCATTTCTCCTTCTTAGGCACTTTTTCAACTGTTGTTATTCATTCATCTATTCAACACATATTTGTTAAGTGGCTATTATGAGCCAGACACTATGCTATGTACTGAAGATTTTTTTTTTAAATAATCAACCAAAATTTGGAACATGTGTGCCAGCTACATATAATGGATTTTTGTTAAAGACTTCTGTTATTGTGGGTCCTTGGGTTTGTTGCTAGTGAATCTTAAGATGACCTAATAGAATATAGTTTTTTGTTTTGTTTTGTTTTGTTTTGTTTTGTTTTGTTTTGTTTTGTTTT